CCAAGTTTGGTTCAATTCCATCCTTGGTGGAGTTCAGAATGCCCTTTGATATTGCAGGTGAACTATAAATCCCAGCAACTACAACTCCCAAATGACAAAATCAATCCTCCCTCAACCCCACCAGTATTCAAATTTGGGTGTATCGAGTATTTGTTCCAAATGAATGAAAATGCATCCCGCATTATCGGATATTTATTTACAAGAGGATTAATAACAGCAGCAAAATTACAGTTGTGAAGTAGCAAAGAAAATAATGTTATGTTTGGGGGTCACCACAACATAAGGAACTGTATTAAGGGGTCACAGCATTAGGAAGGTTGAGAACCACTGTGCTAGGAAGAGGACAGCCTCATTGCATTTCCCAGCCAGTTAGCTTAGATTTATGGAGACTTTATCAATGAGAGGCCTCCAAAAACCCTGCCCAGGTCTTGCAAACTCAGCCCGACGGTCAGTCAATCCCTCTCCAATGTGGTCTTCCACTTTCCCTCTTGCCTTCTTCTTTACCAAATACACAATTTCTGTGCACTTTAGCTCGCCTACACAAAGTACTCTATTTATTTGAATCTAATGCTCACCTTTTTGGGCTAAATGACCTCTCTAAACTTAGGCACATTAGATTTGCCTCAGCAAGTGAGAATCCAAAAGTGGCAGGTGAAAATTTAGAACTTCAATCAGTGACTGATACCAGATGAAAGACTCCCCCCTGGGCAGGGGCGGCTGAAACAATAGGCAAATTATGCATTTGCGTAGAGTGCGAATCCCCGAGGGGTGCTCTTGAGGCATCCCCGGTTATAGCAGGGGACAACGTAAGAGCCTCATTCCTGACTGGAATTCCGTCCTGACCCATTTTCCTTCACTCCCCAAATGTCTAGCATTGCAACAAATGGAAAGTTTGGTTAGCTGTGTAGAAATGCAGCCATCCAATGAAAAGGGGTCAGCATTGGCAATGTGACCAAGGGAAAATGAAGACAACCAGTGTGTGAGTTATATATACAGACCTGGGCAATTATGATCAATGTTGAATTAGAAGGACTCCTTTAGCCTGGGAAGGGGTGGGGGCAGGGACATCATTTTGCCCTTGAGCAGAACCTTCTCATGTGTCCCCCATGACCTTCTGGCAAACAAACTAGTCAAATGTGGGATAGGCAAAACTACGGTGAGGTGGATCGGTAATTGGTTAAATGGACGAACCCAGAGGGTGATTCTCCCCAATGCTTCCTCTTCATCCTGGAAAGAAGTGACGAGCGGAGTGCCACAAGCAGGGTTCCGTCCTGGGCCCGGTCCTGTTCAACATCTTTATTAATGACTTAGATGAAGGGCTAGAAGGCAGGATCATCAAGTTTGCAGACGACACCAAATTGGGAGGGAGAGCCAATACTCCAGAGGACAGGAGCAGGATTCAAAATGATCTTGACAGATTAGAGAGATGGGCCAAAACTAACAAAATGAAGTTCAACAGGGACAAATGCAAGATACTCCACTTTGGCAGGAAAAAAATGCAAAGATACAGAATGGGGGACAATGCCTGGCTCAAGAGCAGTATGTGTGAAAAAGATCTTGGAGTCCTCGTGGACAACAAGTTAAACATGAGCCAACAATGTGATGTGGCGGCAAAAAAAGCCAATGGGATTTTGGCCTGCATCAAGAGGAACCTAGTGTCTAGATCTAGGGATCTCAATCTTGGGTCCCCAGATTTTTTGGCCTACAACTCCCAGAAATCCCAGCCAGTTTACCAGCTGTTAGGATTTCTGGGAGTTGAAGGCCAAAAACATCTGGGACCCCAGGTTGAGAACCACTGGGTCTAGATCTAGGGAAGTCATGCTCCCCATGCTCTATTCTGCTTTGGTTAGACCACACCTGGAATATTGTGTCCAATTCTGGGCACCACAATTCAAGGAGATATTGACAAGCTGGAATGTGTCCAGAGGAGGCAACTAAAATGATCAAGGGTCTGGAGAACAAGCCCTATGAGGAGGGCTTAAAGAGCTGGGCATGTTTAGCCTGAAGAAGAGAAGGCTGAGAGTAGACATGATGAGGGCCATGTATAAATATGTGAGAGGAAGTCATAGGGAGGAGGGAAGCTTGTTTTCTGCTGCCCTGGACACTAAGGCACGATGGAACAATGGCTTCAACCTACAAGAAAGCAGATTCCACCTGAACATTAGGAAGAACTTCCTGACTGTGAGAGAGAACTGTTCAGCAGTGGAACTCTTTGCCTTGGAGTGTGTTGGAGGCTCTTTCTTTGGAGGCTTTTAAACAGAGGCTGGATCTGTCGGGGGTGCTTTGTATGTGATTTTCCTGCTTCTTGGCAGAATGGGGTTGCACTAGATGGCCCACCAGGTCTCTTCCAACTCTAGGATTCTATGATTCTAGGAATACATTTGCTGCCTGCTTACAATTCCTTCTTCAAAAACAAAAGTGTTAGAACACCAAAGCTCTGAGCAATAGAAAGAAAACTTCAGGGTGCATCTCTGCTGTAGAATGGATCCACTTTGATTGCCTTGGTTCAATGCTATGGAATCAAGAGGGACGTAGTTTTACAAACATTACAAAATGTTGACCATTTCTGCTCCCTTGGCAGCCACCTCTCCACAAAAGTCAACATTGACACTGAAATGCAACATTGCCTGAGCTCTGCAAACTCAGCATTTTTCCGAATGAAGCAGCGAGTGTTTGAGGACCGGGACATCCGTAGGGATACCAAGGTACTTGTTTATAAAGCTATTTCCCAACCAACCCTGCTATATGCCTGCGAGACATGGACTGTCTACAGAAGTCACATGCAACTATTTCATCGGTGTTGTCTCCGAAAAATCCTGCAAATCTCTTGAGAAGACAAGCGGACTAATGCCAGCGTGCTGGAAGAAGCAAAGACTACCCGCATTGAAGCAATGGTTCTCCGCCATTAACTCCACTGGACCGGCCACGTTGTCCGGATGCCTGACCACCATCTCCCAAAGCAGTTGCTCTACTCCAAACTCAAAAACGGAAAGATGGTGGACAGGAAAAGAGATTGAAAGATGGGCTCAAAGCCAACCTTAAAATCTCTGGCATAGACACTGAGAACTGGGAAGCCCTGGCCCTTGACCGCTCCAGCTGGAGATCAGCTGTGACCAGCAGTGCTGCGGAATTTGAATAGGCATGAATGGAGGGCGAAAGAGAGAAACGTGCCAATAGAAAGGTGCGTCAAGCCAACCCTAAATGGGACCACCTTCCACCTGGAAATCAATGCCCTCCACAGTCACCTACGGACCCACCGTCAGTACACTGATCTTGGAAGATAATCCTACTCGGACAACGAGGGATTGCCTAAGTAAGTAAGTTTTACAAACTCTTGAGCCTTCTCTGCCAAAGGATGCCAAATGCCTCACCAAACTACAAATCCCAACATTGCATAACATTGAGGCATGACAATTTAAATCAGAGATGATATCATTCAAAGAGGAGCTTCTAAAACAGCTTCCACTTTGGTTTTGGCTCAGCACGAAGATTACCGTATTTTGCAAATTTAACGTGCACCCTAATTTTGGTCAGGGCAAAAAAAAGATGGGGATCGCAGGAGGATGAGTGAAATAGTCTGGCTGTGCAAAAGCAAGCATGAACTCCCGCTTGAAAAGAAAATAAGTCTGTGGAACATAACGAGCGAGCAACCATTCTTCCTTCCCTCTTCATCAACATGAAAGACCGAATCACCAAGAAAAGGTTACTGTCAGTCATTCCCCTCTTTGACTCTTCGTTTCTTTGTGGAACACAATAGTATTTGGACTAGTTCAGGGCTCATTCTCTCTGGACTCAAGAGACAACGGGATGTCCCACAGGAAGACCTGGCATCTTTCTCAGCAGCCAGCAAGGAAAGCCCAACGCTTAGGTCAAGCCAACCAACGATGTCAGGAAGAGATTACGGCTATTCTTGGCCTGGCAATATTTTTCCTTTTGGAACGAGCGCCGGAAGCATCCTTTTTCAATGGCCTTCTTATACGATTCCTGGAAGTCCCAAATTGGAGTATTATTTGGAATTAATTGCTGGAGGATCTTGGACAAAGTCAAAACAGGAGGTTAAAACAAAACAAAACATTGGCTGAGCTGCATGTCAGTCTTGCAGTCATCAAGGTGTTGTCTTTATTGTCTGCAGGCATAAAAACCACTTGCTTTTGAATATAGCCTCTGCTAGGGCATGTAAGAAATGAGTTAGTATGTTTGTGTCAACTGTAAAAAAAAAAGATGCATGAAGCAGATTGATTGGGCTACGCCCAGGGAACTAGCAGAGTCTGGGAGTTTTGGTTACTGTTACATTATTCAGCCTTGAGAATTTTCATTGCTACTTCATAATTGTAATGTTGCTCCTGTTATAAATCGTAATGTCAGTATCTGATATGCAGGTTGTATTTTCATTCATTGAACCAAATTTGGCACAAATGCCCGATAGGCTCAAATTTGAATACTGCTGGGGTTGGGGGGGGGGGGTAGATTTTGTCATTTGGAGTTGTAGTTGATGGGATTTATAGTTCACCTCCAAGAAGCATTCAGAACTCCACTAATGATGAAATTGAACTAAACTTGGCATACAGAACTCCATTACAAATAGAAAATACTGAAAGGATTTGATAGGCATTGAGTTTTGGAGTTGTAGTTCACCTACATCCAGAGAGCACTGTGGACTCAAACAATGATCAATCTGGACCAAACTTGGCATGAATGCTCAATATGGCCAAACGTGAACAGTGGTGGAGTTTGGTGAAAATAGACTAGCACTGTGGACTCAAACAATGATCAATCTGGACCAAACTTGGCATGAATGCTCAATATGGCCAAACGTGAACAGTGGTGGAGTTTGGTGAAAATAGACCTTGACATTTGGGAGCTATAGCTGCTGGGATTAACAGTTCACCTGCAATCAAAGAGCATTCTGAACCCCACCAATGATAAAATTGAGCCAAACTTACCACACAGAAGCCCCATGGTCAACAGATGGTCTTGCAACCGGCTCAGGGTTCCCGATGATGGCGAAAATGAGGCGGGCGAGGGGGCTTGGTGCGAAGTTAGGCCTCGTGCCGAGTTCCCCTCGCCCGCCTCACGCCCTCACCGAATGGTGAGAGTGCACGGCAGGCAAAGGAGTCCTCGCCGGGCCTGCACCCTTGGAGCGGGACCAACGGAGGCGGCCTCGAGACCCCTCCAAAATGGCAAGGCAACCCCCCTTGGAGTTGCGACCCCCAGGTTGAGAACCGCTCCTCTAAAAGGACATTATGTGAGTTGATGCATCTTTTCACATGATTGTCCTACATTATGAAGAGTGAACTAGAATCATAGAATCATAGAATCAAAGAGTTGGAAGAGACCTCATGGGCCATCCAGTCCAACCCCCTGCCAAGAAGCAGGAATATTGCATTCAAATCACCCCTGACAGATGGCCATCCAGCCTCTGTTTAAAAGCTTCCAAAGAAGGAGCCTCCACCACACTTCCGGGGCAGAGAGTTCCACTGCTGAACGGCTCTCACAGTCAGGAAGTTCTTCCTCATGTTCAGATGGAATCTCCTCTCTTGTAGTTTGAAGCCATTGTTCCATTGCGTCCTAGTCTCCAAGGAATCAGAAAACAAGCTTGCTCCCTCCTCCTCCCTGTGGCTTCCTCTCACATATTTATACATGGCTGTCATATCTCCTCTCAGCCTTCTCTTCTTCAGGCTAAACATGCCCAGCTCCTTAAGCCGCTCCTCATAGGGCTTGTTCTCCAGACCCTTGATCATTTTAGTCGCCCTCCTCTGGACACATTCCAGCTTGTCAATATCTCTCTTGAATTGTGGTGCCCAGAATTGGACACAATATTCCAGGTGTGGTCTAACCAAAGCAGAATAGGAGCTCCGTTGGCTGCCGTTCATTTTCCGGCCCCAATTCAAGGTGCAGGTTCTTACCTACGGTTTGGGATCCGCCTACTTGTGTGACCGCATTTCTGTTTATGAACCCACGATCTCTTTGATCATCTGGAGAGGCCCTGCCTTCGCAGGCACGATTGGTGGAGACGAGGGAGAGGGCCTTCTCGGTGGTGGCCCCCTGACTCTGGAACTCACTCCCCAAGGATATCAGGCAACCCCCCACATTGGCAGTCTTTAGGAGGAGCCTGAAAACGTGGCTGTTCCAGTGTGTCTTCCCTGAATAAAGGAAACAATGCCCTGCTTTGACCAATTCCTTACAAAATGTCCTCAGAAGCACTTTAACTAACCACTGGGTTGCTCTCCCTACACTATCCTTTAAAACCCCTCCTACTTAGATACATCCTACCTCTGTTCAGTGTTTATTTTAAAACGTTAATCTATTACATCTGGCCCGGCCATAAGGTTTTAAATTTTTGTGTGCTACTGTTTATATGTGAGTTATATTAATTGTATTGTTTTATTTGCTTACTTCTTTGTTGTTTTACTGTGTTTTTCGGCTTGGCCTCATGTAAGCCGCCCCGAGCCCCCTTGCGGAGATGGTGGTGGGATATAAATAAATAATAATAATAATAATAATAATAATAATAATTATTATTATTATTATTGTGACTTTGTATGTTTTGATGTTGATGTTGATGAGTCCTCCCCAGGGAGATAGAGCAGTATATCAATAAAGGTGGTTATTATTATTACTATTATTATTATTATTATTATTATTATTATTGTGACTCTGTATGTTTTGATGTTGATGTTGATGAGTCCTCCCCAGGGAGATAGAGCAGTATATCAATAAAGGTGGTTATTATTATTACTATTATTATTATTATTATTATTATTATTATTGTGACTCTGTATGTTTTGATGTTGATGTTGATGAGTCCTCCCCAGGGAGATAGAGCAGTATATCAATAAAGGTGGTTATTATTATTACTATTATTATTATTATTATTATTATTATTATTATTATTATTATTGTGACTTTGTATGTTTTGATGTTGATGTTGATGAGTCCTCCCCAGGGAGATAGAGCAGTATATCAATAAAGGTGGTTATTATTATTACTATTATTATTATTATTATTATTATTATTGTGACTTTGTATGTTTTGATGTTGATGTTGATGAGTCCTCCCCAGGGAGATAGAGCAGTATATCAATAAAGGTGGTTATTATTATTACTATTATTATTATTATTATTATTATTATTATTATTATTGTGACTCTGTATGTTTTGATGTTGATGTTGATGAGTCCTCCCCAGGGAGATAGAGCAGTATATCAATAAAGGTGGTTATTATTATTACTATTATTATTATTATTATTATTATTATTATTATTATTATTATTGTGACTCTGTATGTTTTGATGTTGATGTTGATGAGTCCTCCCCAGGGAGATAGAGCAGTATATCAATAAAGGTGGTTATTATTATTACTATTATTACTATTATTATTATTATTATTATTATTATTATTATTATTATTGCCGAAGGCTTTCATGGCCAGAATCACTGGGTTGTTGTGGGTTTTTTTCGGGCTATATGGCCATGGTCCAGAGGCATTCTCTCCTGATGTTTTGCCTGCATCTATGGCAAGCATCCTCAGGAGGAAACCATGAAAATAAACAAAATCTGGCTACCAGTATTAAAAAACTCTAAAATTACAACAGTACAACAACAGAGAGGAAACAAACAAGGACATCTAATCACCTCTCAACAAAAGTTTGCTCCAGGCACTGTCAGACCATTATATGCTAATCAAGGTGGTCAGTTGAAACATTCACACCTAACTCCAGCAGACAAGAGTCCTTTGTCCCACCCTGGTCATTCCACAGATATATAAACCCACTTTCCTAGTTCCAACAGACCTCACTAACTCTGAGGATGCTTGCCGTAAATGCAGGCAAAACGTCAGGAGAGAATGCCTCTAGAACATGGCCATATAGCCCGAAAAAACCTACAACAATCCAGACATCTAATCATCTCTCAACAAAAGTTTGCTCCAGGCACTGTCAGGCCATTATATGCTAATCAAGGTGGTCAGTTGAAACATTCACACCTAGCTCCAGCAGACAAGAGTCCTTTGTCCCACCCTGGTCATTCCACAGATATATAAACCCAATTTTTCCTAGTTCCAACAGACCTCACTACCTCTGAGGATGCTTGCCATAGATGCAGGCGAAACGTCAGGGAAAATGCCTCTAGAACATGGCCATATAGCACAGAAAAACCTACAACAACCCAGAATGGTCTGGATAAAATTAGTTTGAGTGTTATTATATATCATACGACTCCGGCCCGGTTTACCTCTCCGAAAGTATTCTCCCCTACGAACCATCAAGATTACTAAGATCGTCTGGAGGGGCCCTGCTCTTGGTCCCGCCGGCCTCACAAGCGCGGCTGGTGGGGACGAGGGTCAGGGCCTTCTCGGTAGTGGCCCTGCGACTCTGGAACTCTCTCCCGCCAGAGGTTAGAACTCTCGGTAGTGGCCCTGCGACTCTGGAACTCTCTTCCGCCAGAGGTTAGAACCGCCCCAACAATCCTGACATTCAGGAAACAGGTGAAGTTGTGGTTATGGAGACAGGCTTTCGAAGAATGAGACAATGATCTGGATGGAAGACAGTGTATATTCGATTTTAGTATGACGACTGACCACTGTAGTTTTAAATATATGTGCTTTTTTAATGTTTTATTGTAATGTGTATTTTGATATTTTTACCGATTATATGTGTTTTTATGGTTGGAAACCGGGCTGAGTCCCTCTTATGAGGTGAGAAGCTCGGTATATAAAACTTTGAAATAATAAATAATAAAAATATTATTATTATTATTATTATTATTATTATTATTATTATTATTATTATGTTTGTAGCCTTGAGCTCTTCAGGTGCCCTGGAAAATCCCAGGAAGCCTTCCTGAAGCAGTCATTCACCTTCTGGATATTTTTCATGGCACAGTTTTGGAACCTCTTCTCTAGAGAAGAGAATTTGCACACAGAAGGCGGTCTGAAAGGGTTAAGAGGAAAGCAGAGGGGTTGGTTCGACGCAAGGAAGTGGGTCATGTCCTGTGCTGTCCAGGGATGTACAAATGGCCCGTGCCCTCTGCCGTAAGGACAGCGAGAGCCGGCCGGACTCTGGCTGCTCTTCATTCCTCCTCTCTAAAGCACGCTGTGGATTTGGGGCAACCTTTGAAGATGGAGCCAAAGTCATTGGTGGTTTTGGCAGCTCTTTTGGTCAGCAGTGCTTGGGCTTGTGGGGATGAGCCATCATCCTCCTCCTTCAATGCAACAGGGATTGTCTGCAGGCTCACCAAGGCGGGCGCGCTCGTGCGTAAGTCTTGGCAAGTCCCCATCGCAGTCCCTTCTGGGATGAACTGGGGAATGCTCTCCATCCACCCAACATCTTCCCTTCCTTTCTGCTCTCTTTTCTTCATTTGGCTTTGCTTACGTTTTTGGTGTCTGCGTGCCATGCCCAGGAGCAACCCCAGTGGCTTCTACTGCTGTGGTTATTTTTACAGTATGTAACATGATGTCTTTTCCTGGCTTATGAATGTCATTTCCTAATTGATAATTTCACAAAAACATGGGAAACATTGATTAAACTGCCCAAAACTTTGTTTTTGTGGAGTTTATTCGATGCTTAGACCATAGGTCTTTCACATACATGGCAAGGCAAACAAATAAATACATGAACACCAGATTATTAAATACAATAAAAATACACAATAAAATCCTATAAATCATTAATATGCTACATATATCAATTGCACGATGTACTTTTAAAATACTACATACTGTATGGCAGTGTTTCTCAACCTTCCTAATGCTGCGACCCCTTAATACACTTTCTCATGTTGTGGTGACCCCCCAACCATAACATTATTTTCGTTGGGTTGTTGTAGGTTTTTCCGGGCGATATGGCCATGTTCTAGAGGCATTCTCTCCTGACGTTTCGCCTGCATCTATGGCAAGCATCCTCAGAGGTAGTGAGATCTGTTGGAACTAGGAAAATGGGTTTATATATCTGTGGAATGACCAGGGTGGGACAAAGAACTCTTGTCTTTTGAAGCTAGGTGTGACTGTTTCAACTGACCACCTTAATTAGCATTTGATGGCTTGGCAGTGCCTGGGGGAAGCTTTTGTTGAGAGGTGATTAGATGTCCCCGA